TTCTGCCGGCAGAGGTAGGGTGTGATCTCCCAACAAGGGAAGCCTGTGAGATCATAGATGAGAGGCCGCATAAGAGGCCATGCACAGAAGGGATTCATTTCTCCTTTGCCAATGTCACGAACCTAGGACAAGAGGTACGGCAGTGGCTACTTTGTCGACCACGGACTCCAATCTTTGTGGTTGAGACCCATTTAGGCCAAGAAGATCATCAGAAGAGCCTTCAGTTCTTGGACATCCGGCAGCAGAAAGCCTCAAGGGTGGGACGCATGGTGGACTCCATTTGCTCTTTCCCACACACCCCTCATTTCCACTTCATTCAGAAGCAGGTCATTGATGGATGTGGATGGTATGCCACACACTGGAGTTTTGCCAACATGGACTTGGTCATGGTGATGGTTTATTTCAAGTGTGGGGGGGGCGTCCAAGGCAACACAAATGCCCTCCTATGTTCTGGCCTTCTCACTTTCGTCACTGGCATGCAAAAGCCGGTCATCATCTGTGGGGACTTCAACATCACGCCTGAAGAGTTCATGACCACGACCATGAGCACGATCATGGGGGTCCAAGTTGTGGCCACAGGTGAGGACACCTGCCACACTGGTCGAGAGCTAGACTGGGCATTGGTGACTACATACTTGGCAGCGGATCTGCAAGTGGAAGCCAATTGGGAGGTTCCCTTCAAGCCTCATGCGCAGCTCAATTTGAAGCTTGACAGAGCAGGGGATCCTATTGCCATCCAGAAGATCCAACGTTTCAACCCAGCCCCACGACTGGAGAAGATTCAGATTGAATGGACGCGGCTGGAACAGGTCCTGCCTGAGGTCAAATGGTTGGACATGCACACGACTCCGCTGACCCAACAGATTGGTGGCCTCTACCACAAGATTGAACGATATGCACTTCAGATGATGGACAACTCCACCTATGGAAGAGGCACCAACCTGGCCTACACCTGCAAACCTCTACATGACCCTGGATGACCGTGGCTGTGGAGAAAGGGAAGTCAGGCTTTCTGGGCTCAAGTCGAGGTCAGGCTGCAGCATCAGCCCCAGCGTGCAGCAGGAGCGTCACATCACTTGCAGAAGCTGGGATGGCACACCAAGATGCATTGGCATTCAGCTGCACCAGTTACCTATGAAGGCTTCATGTTACTGTATGACATGCTCTGGACAAACCATGATGCTGAACACATCCAGGCGCTGCTGAAATATGCAAAAGTCCAGCGAGATCTTCATCAAGCTGAGAGTTTCAATGTGGAGACGGAGCAGTACCGCTCTTGGATGACCAAACCATCCGAAAAGGGTTGCAGAGGACTGTACAGAACATTGAAACGTGATGAGATGCCTTTCATTAGGCCCTTTCAAAATTGCCTAAGAGTTGAACGCATGGCCAAGAGGATCCAGCAATGAGGAGAAATCTGGCATCAAAGAGATGATGCTTTTGTGCCTTCGACGCTTTCCGCTTTGATTCCCAAAGGAGCAGAACATTCTAAAGAACTGCAGCCGCTCACAACACATCACCTACGGATCATCAAACGGCTGGCGCAAAAGGCACCAGGACTTGATGGAGTTGGATTTCTTCCGCACTTTGCCATATGCCATGCAAGACATCATCGAGATCTTTCACCTGAGGCTCAGTCGATCCCAAATCGGGGGATCTCCCTCATTGCATTGATCCCCAAGAATGACATTGAAAGGCCTATAGCTTTGGTTGCCTCCATGTACCGCCTTTGGTGCCGTGCTCGGGCCCCATACACAGGACAATGGCAACAGGAAATTCAGCATGAGTTTTTCTGGGAATAGCTATGCCGGGCACTGAATTCTTACAGGTGGCTTTGAAACGGGCATTCATGAAACATCATCAGGCCATGCAGAAGACCGTGGTTTGAGTCCTTTTGGACATGTCAAATTTCTATGACCGCATCAACTTGGAAAAGCTCTCACAAAGATAGTTAGATTATGTTAGATTCCAACATTCTGCTGTTCATGCGGCTTTGGCAAGGCAGGTGTACTGTGGTGGGCGCATCCTAGAAGCGGAAGGAGAGGCCTCCTAACAGCTCTGGGCTGAGAGAGGCATTCTTGCAGGAGATCCTCAAGCTCCCTTGGCGGCCAAAGTGTACTTGCAACCGGCCCTACTCAAATTCCACAAGAAGTTCCCCCAGCTGCACACTGACCTGTGGATAGATGACTTGAGCTTTGATGTTGTTGACCGCAACCCGGCCAATGCTGTCCGCATTGCCATTGCGGCGTGCTCCCACATCAAGGCTTTGTTGGAAGAGGATGATTTGGTCATCTCGACCAAAAAGACGGGTTTTGTGGTCTCCAATGCCAGGGCTAAGCAATTGATGAAGGAGCAACTACCAGCTGATGGACCACAGGTACATGATGTCATGAGGGATTTGGGCATTGACTGTACGGCTACAAAGGCAGTATTTTGTCTGGCATAAGCTGGGGGAATGAAGCCATGGGCTTGGCGCCACAGCTTCGGCGGCGCATTCGCGCCACTTGGGCAGGCACCTTGGGCACCAGCGGACAGGCAATTTGGACATCGTCTATGACATGCACAGTGGTCATCAAGAGCCAGATTATGGTGCCTTCATGGATCAGGTCAAGACCTACAGGCGCTTCTATGGCAACTGGCCTGAACATCTTGGGCAAGATTTGGAGCGAGCATGGCATGTTCACCACACCAGGCTGCAACAAGCCAAGCACCCTTGGCAAGTAGCCAAGGGACCGGTGGCTGCCCTGCAATGCTATTTGCTTGAACATGGCTGGACGGTTGAGAGTCATCAAGAATGGACGAAACCGGACTACAACGGCCAGAAGGATTTTCACCTCAACATGAACAACCCTTGACTTGAGTTGAAGCAGGAGCTCAAAAGGGCTGAACAATCTGACAGGCTGCAAAAGATCAATCAGCGGACGATGCTCCAGGATGTTCAACGTCCACTTGACTGGAAGCCATGGCAACAGCTGACCAAGACTTTGAACCAGCGCAATGCAGTGGCCCTGCAGACTTGGCATCAAGGAGCCATTTTCACCAAGATTGCAGATGGACAGGAGGGCACGCATTTGACATGCCCTCACTGTGGACAGGCTGCCACTGTTGTGCATTTGTTGTGGCTTTGTCCTGAAACCAAGAAACACTTTCCTGAGCTCGACGCAGTTGACTCCTTCGAACTGGAGCATGGCATCAACTTGGAGTTTTGGGCCCAGGGCTTGCTTCAGCTTCCGGACCACAGCCTGGCCACAGGAGGGGCGGCAGTCCAGGCTTGGGGCTCTTGGACCACCCAAGATGAGCTTCGACTAAAGAAACAAGAAGTAGTCACCATTGGCATCTCCACCACATCCAAAGATGTCCGTGTGCGCCACTTTGTGGTGGCCATTGTTCATCACGTTCTTCTTGGTGGACAGCTCTATCGGCAGGGAGCTGTCATCACGGTGCCGGGGAAGACTTGGGAGAGGGCCTGGTTCGTCTTCGCATGGTTGGGCACTATGTGGACCTCCAGACGCTGGTGATCCATGTCACCTCCCGGGATTGGGAGGCTTGGAACCTCTCCACATGGACACTTTTCATGACCTGAAACTCCCTCATCACCTTGGATCAGAGGCAACAAATCAAGGTTCTGTCCATGAGCTCTTCTCAGCTTAAGGACATGCCAAACACAGAATGGTCCTCGAGAAACCGCATGGCTGATGCAAGAAAGGCTGCTGATGGAGGACAAAACTCATTTTCTTCATCAAGCCAGAGAAGAGGGCAAAGACAAGAGGACCAAAGCTCGAGAAGCCAAAAAGGAGATCTTTAATGACCTCACCAAGACAACCTCAGATGCTGGCCATGTGTGGATCCTCAAGGGCAAAAGTGTGCAATGTCAGCATTGCAAAAAGCGCCTTACCCTGCACAGCAAGGTTGAGGACCTGAGGACAGGACAAACCGAAGCTTGTCCCATGGCCAACACCCCACCCCTCATTATCCTTCAACAGATGGTTCAGGGCAATATGCCGGACATGGCCAATCATGCCTTTGAACTCCGCACAAATTATGTGGTGTGTGGGCGCTGCAACCAACGCCTCCTCAAGCACTCGGCAAAAGAGAAGATTGTCGAGTTGGCTAAAAGCCCCTGTTGGGATGAAGCTTGGCAGCCGGGCCCAGCATGGATGGGGTATCCGAGCCATCAGATGTGGCGCAAAGGAGGGAGACTCAGCTGCTTGAAGTGCAAGGCCCCGGCGGTTGGGGCTCCACCGGACTTCAAGGCTAGCAAGGGCCTGCAGAGACGCTGCGCGGACGCCAGCGATCAGGCAACTCTGCCACAATGCTTTCGGCCGAAAGATGGCTAACAGCACAGAAAAGGTGCGAAGAAAAAACACAAAAAACATATTATATATATATGTAATATATACATCTCTATGGCGGAAGAATGTGAAAAACAAACCTGCATTGTGCTACAAAAGGAGGCGTCATGAACGGGCATGATTGGCGCGTTTCATGAGTCCACTGCGCAAAGTGTCACAACAGGTGCCAGTGTTCAGTACACAGCCAACAACAACATCTGGCATTGAAGCACTTAAGCTGAACACTTGTGCCGTGCATAGTCTCTCCCACAAAACCATACAAAACCTTGGGTCTATCCTATTACCTGTAACAGTGGATGATGATGGTTGGTAGAGGCCTTGTCCAAAAATAGTGATAATTGTTTACTGACTGTTACAGGTATTAGGACAAACCCAAACAAAACCCATGTTCTTGGAAGACAAACAAGCATTGTCGCTTACTTGTAAGTTGACCCCTGCCCTGTCATCTTGTATTGTCCCGGCAAGCGGCCCCCCAAAAATGCTATATAAGCAAAAGACAACACAGGTGAGTAAGCGAACTTAAGGCTTGGGTAAGAGCACACACACAAGCAAGTTTGACCACACTGTCTAGGGACAAAAGAACGGCAGCATTTTCACACCAAAGAAGCGCAACAAACTTGAAAGCACGGCACAAGAATGCATTGGGAACTAACATGACATGTTACGAATAAAATTGGTCCGACCCAGGCAGATTTGCCTGGAAGTCCTTCTGGGTTCGCAGCCAGGCAGGCTGCCATCGAGCAGTTTTTGTGCTGGCTTCTTCCATGCATCAGCCAAAGACCACCCCACCTTGAAACACTCCACTTGACATCAAAAGGCAGAAGAAAGGTCTAAAGGTTCAGCCTTTCTTCCCTGCTCTCTGATCTTGCATGAAGGGAGCGTTCAAGCGCATCGCCAGCCCACGTATGAGTAATGTCATGCGACAAAGGAGGACAAACCTTGGCTGAGTTGTAAACATCTCATATCAAAGCAAATGTTTGAAGAACATGTCTGCTTCAAGAGGTGCAGCTGAGGAACTCTCTAGGAAAGGATGCCACCTCTAAAGTACTAAAGCAGCTGACAGCAAAGTTGCAAGTGAAAGCCCTCTGAATTGACATATTCACACACACACATGTCATCACATATGTACTGAGGTGGGATAGGTCCCACACATCTCGAACTGGACAATTTGGCGAAAGCTCCTTGGCTACACCAGCTTAGAGTATGGAAACAAACAGCAAGCGGTGAAGTGCAGGATGTCGGTGAATCCAAGAAGGGAAGTAAACGGAACGACGGAACGAGCTAAGGCCATTATCATAAGTGCAAGTGACAAGTGTTTGGGGTCAGCGCTGGACGCAAAACGCGCCAAACGAGTCACGTTGGCTTCATAGCCATCGGGAAGTTCTCTTCTGCTGCTATCAAAGAGCCACAGCGCCAAAGCACCTTGCATCCAACATTCCCCTGCCCTTTAGTTTATGAACGTGCAAAAAACTGAGTTTCTGGGTGTGCTTGATTCTGGCAAAGAACCAAAAGTTTGATTCTACGTGAGTCAAGGGCATGGTATCATCTTGACATTATCTTGACCACCTACTTCTGACCCCCTGACAAGGTTTGCATTTCTTGGAAGTGTGCTAGAAGCCACGTCATGACTCTGAGTCTCTGAGTCACTTGTGCACTCAATTGACGTTCGTTGTCAGGGTCACAAACAACGACTTTGATTTGTGGACATGCTACGGACCTAGGACCGTGCTGACGTTTGTTGTCAGCCATGGAGGTGAATTTGCTGTGTGAATGTTGTGGGTTTGGTGCTGCTCTTTGGCCTTGATGTTGAAGTGTTGAAGCCAAACTTGAAATGTCGGCTTTTTGTTTGTCCTTGAGGGGAAGAGGACACGTCAGCCGTCATTTTCTTGCCCTTTTCTGTCACAAGAGAGTGAAACAACTGCAAGAAGCACGAGATCTGTTGATGAAGCCAAACTGAACATCGTATTGAGCTCACAAACCCCAAGCACCTGCACAGGAGGGCCCAGCAGACGGAAGGAATTCGACTCCTCAAAATCGACTGAATTTCAACAGGTTTCAGCGCTTCAGTCTGCTTCAGCGTCACAAGTGTCTTGTTAGGCTCCGGTCCCATGCTTTTGGCAAAGCCCCCTAGCGACTGTAGGTACTGCACCGCATCTTCGGTGTCCTCCAGCTTCCAAGCCACAAGGAATACATTGAATACATTTGCGAGAGCTGCTAGACTTGTGACACTGTTGCTTGAATACCGATCACGAAAGAACAATGCACTAACAAGCCGGCATCAAAAAACGTTTGCATGGTAGAGCATCAGGTGTAATGCGCTCCTGGTCCAACATCTTGTTGTACTCTGCCACCCTTGTCATCAACTCTGCAACCTGCGAAGCTATGCCAAACTCAAAAAATTCCAGGCTGACTCCACCTGAAAGGAAACTTGTTCTTTGCAAACTGTTCACAGTGCCTGCTTCCGAAATTTGAAGTTGATCCTGAGGTTGCTGAGCCATTCAACTCAAACCGTCGATTGGTAGAAAACCATGGCAGCAGCGTATGAAAAGGGAGAGCAGCCTGTCTACGGGCCACAAACAGCCATAAACATAAACTATGTGCTTCACGGGTGACTCTGAGCTACGTCATGCCGTGTCATACTCTCTCTTTGTGTGCATCTTTGCGCTTGGTTTGCGGGCTGTGTGTGTGAGAGCCCACCGAACAATTCAAGCACCCACATCATCAACTCTTCAGTCAGCATCTCTCCATTCAGTAGTATCAGCATTGAAAAGTAACACTTTACCAACAGCAAAGCCATACCACATCACACGCAGCAGTTAACAATTTCTAGCCTTCAACACACACCAAATCACCAGGGGATAGAATTTCCACTTGTGTGTTTCTCAACCCTGACCCCTAGGCCCTAGGCATGCAACTCATATGTGCTTGTTTTGCTGAACTGACCCCTTCCGCTCGCCCACACTTCGTGCAGCCACCCTTGTCAAGCATGTCGGTGAAGTAGTAGGTTCTTCCCTTGCTACTGGTAAGGCCAAGGCTAATACCAGCGATTTCCACTCTTATCACCGCTGCAAAGAGCATATGTGTGCCCACTATCTATATATTATAATTGCCGGCCACTGTCCAGACGATGTGAAGTATATGGTCTTTTCAAACACAGGTGAAGTGGCAAGCCTGCTAAGAGAGGGGGTGCAAGTTTACGGTGAGATGATTTGTGTTCACCACTGGTGAAATGGCCCAACCGCAATGCAATCGCTCTGCCCGAGAAAAGAACATCACCTCAAGTCATCTGACTGATTACAGCACTCTTCAGGGTCTCAAATTGAAATTGCAAGCAGGCTGCTGCTTTGTCTGACCAAAATCGATCAAGGATATCGTCCCATCAGGCCTGAATTGTCGAAGTGGTGTTGTACCGAGGTGCCGACTCTGATCGGGCCTGATAAAGATATTTCCAGGATGTGGATCAGCATGGAAAAAGCCCTCCTCGAAGATCATAATGCCAAAGGCTTCCGTCAGAGAGGACAAGAGTTTCCGCCCAAAGACCTGGGTTTCATAATTTTGTTTTCTCCGCGATGAGTCACGTGCCACACACAAGCACAAAATCAAGCAACCCTGAGTTTGAGACTTGTTCTGCGAGTGAGCCAGGTTCAATCTCAATTCCTCGCTTTTTAAGCTCTTCTCGCAATTGTGACAATGGCGCGCCAGGCACAAAATCCATACAAAGGACCCGCTTTGACGTCAAACCAGGAATACTTCGAGGCACATGCACAGCAGGGTGGCGACCTCCCCTGCACAAAGCATCAGCAATCCGATCCATGCCATTTGCTTCTGCTGTAAAGTCGAACTCGTCCTGAAGTTGCTCCTCTAGTTCACAGCGCACGAGGTAGTAGTCAACGGGGAAGATCTCTCGTGTAATCATCGAGAAAGTCTTGACAACGCTTATGTCGCTCATCAAGCGGCGTTCAACATTGGGTCGCTGCACCTACAAGTGCTGAAAGCCGTTGAGGCAAAACGCCAAGTAATGGCATCATGGGACGGAATAACAAACATGTTTTCGCCAAAGTATTCACACACACTGATTAGTTTAACCGGACGGAATAACAATAAGTTTGTTCACCCAGGATTATTTTTTTTTAAAAATTCTTGATTTGTCTACCCTTTTGCTATTGTTGCTTTAAAAGAAACTAGAACAACTACCTACTGCTGCTGCTGCTACTGCTACTGCTACTACTACTACTACTACTACCTCTACTACCACCACTACTGCTACAACAACAACAACAACTACTACTACTACCACCACCACCATGACTACTACTACTACTACCACTACTACTACTACTACTACTACCAGGAGTTTTGCTTGATTCACGGAACTCTGACCTGAAACCCTTTTTTTGAAAAGCCCCAAACTCATCGATTTCATTTCCCCAAACAATTTTCCAAGCGGGTAACACACAAGCCACGCGAAAGTGAATAATACGAATTGTTTTGGGGGTGGGTTTGATAAGTAAATTTGGAGCCCAAGGAAAAATATTTACAATTACATCTATATTGTTCTGCTATTGCTGCTGCTGCTGCTACTGCTACTGCTACTGCTGCTGCTGCTACTACGACTACTAGTTCTACTACTACTACTACTACCACCACCACTACGACTACGACTACTACTACTACTACTACCACTACGACCACTACGACCACTACCGCCACTGCCACTGCCACTACCACTGCCACTACCACTGCCACTACCACTGGGTTGCGAATATCTTTCTGGAATTTTTTTCGTTTTCTTTTTGGATTTTTTTTGTTTTTCGTGTTTCGTGGCAGGTGCAGTACTTTGTGGACCTTGCAAAGCACATTTCGTGGCAGGTGCAGGACTTTGTGGGCCTTGGAGTGCAGAGTTTGTGGCAGGCGCAGGACTTTTTGTGGGCCTTGAAGTGCAGATTTCGTGGCAGGTGTAGTACTTTGTGGGCCTTGGAGTGCAGATTTTGTGGCAGGCGCAGGACTTTGTGGACCTTGAAGTGCAGATTTCGTGGCAGATGCAGGACTTTGTGGGTGTGGAAGTGTAGAGTCGAGTTGGTGGCAGGTGCAGGACTTTGTGGG